TCCAAAGCTTTGGATACCAGACTAGGCGGGGAGGTGGAAATGAAAGGAGTCATGGAAGAGGCAGCGAGAGACCTGGGAAAGAGGCAGGAAAGCGAGAGGACAACGTAGGAGGAAGAGGACCAGACAGGGAAATCTAAATGTGGGAGAAGGGAGGCAGAGAGATGGACATAAATTGGTTACAAAGGAGACTGGGAATGGTAGGTGAAACTTGGGGAAACCTAAGGAAGGATGTGGAGAAATGGGAGATTGGTTCTAAGAGCCCTAAGGATTCCTGTGCTTCGTAGACATTCATCCCCAGCAGGGGCAGCTCTATGTATTTTGCCGCCCCAAGCACGGCAGTCAGGCGGCCTTCGGCGGTGCGGCTGCAGGAGGTCCGCTGGTAATGCGGATTTGGCGGCATGCCTGCGGGAGGTCTGCCGGTCCCGCGCCTTTGGCGTACCCACCGCCGAATTGCCGCCGAAGCCACGGGACCGGTGGACCTCCCACAGGCACGCCGCCGAAGGCTCCCTGACTGCTGCCCCCACAGCGACTGGCAGGCCGCCCTCCTCGGCTTGCTGCCCCAGGCACGCGCTTGGTGTGCTGGTGCCTGGAGCCGCCCCTGATCCCCAGCATCATGGGGCTGGAGGGGTGGGCCTGCTCCAAAGTTCCCAGCGCTGTTGAGAGTCTTTTTCAAGGGAAATGAAGCAGCAGACCCTTAGGAAAGGTCTGCAAGATGATGAGGAGAGGGCCGAGGGCTTGAGGGAAAAGAGAGATTGTTTAGGGATCCACTCATAGACAAGGGAGATAAAATGAGGGCAGGAGGAGAAAAGAGAATGAGGGTTACACAAAAACATGGCAGAAGAAGACGATTGTTGTGGAGAATCTGTGGTGAGAGATGAGGGATTGCTTAATGCTTGCTGTACTCTGACTATTTCTGTTAGTAGTTATTAGTCCCTCTCTTTCCTAATCACTAAATTCACCCAAAGACATAAAATATTAAAAAAAGCTACCCTACAATGTCTCTTTCTGTAGTTATCAAATTTTAAATAATTGACAGGCAAAACAATATGTACATTAGAGGAATATTTTTGAATGTTGCAAAGTAGTTGAAAGAAAGATACTAACCCGTCCTGATATGGTCTTTATCACTTTTGAACTGAGAGGTTCAAAATCCACTCCAATGTAACCTTCCATGGCAGTAAGAAGGTTTTTGCTGAGACACTGTGAAGAATTAATCCAAGATTCCCACCATGAACTTTCATACCACCCAGGAATGATCCATTGATATTTACTGCCATACATCTCCTCATCATAAGCCTACAATAATAATAAAAAAATCAGTAGACATTGAGCAGTTTACTGGTCAAAACGCTTACAAAAAACATCAGAAATAAAAGCTCTCTTGTTTAAGTTTCTACATAATGAATTTACTGCATATTTAAAGAATGCAAAAATATTTTAAATAACTTATTTTCTAACAGTGCAGATTTATTTCTTTTTTGTTTCCAAATTTATGTACATGAAGATAGCATTTTGGAAAATAATAAGTCAAAAGCTGTTCAAATCCAGTTTAATTAGAAGTAGAGGAACAAAAAAGTACTTGGTATCTAAAAGGCGGACAGGGGAGAAGGGGGAGGGGGAGGGAAAGGAAGCTAAACACGATTGAGGGAAGTGGAGCAATTCCATAAGAAATCCTCTATAAGGTGGCTTTCAACCTCAGTCTGAGAAGAGTGGAAATAGATGAGTATGTGTGCATATGCACAAACATGCATTGTTAGTGTGAAACAGCTATATTAAACACAGTCAGTTTATTATTTTTTCTTGGGTGAAGCAGGCTTGATTTCAATTAATGACATAGTATCAGGGCAGAATGTAACCTTCTGCTGCAATATTGACATTAAAGTCTTATCAATTGATAAAGAATCATCCAAAATTGAAACAAGAATTAGGGAAAGAATATAACCAGAAAATCATAAGCCTGTAACCCAGAAGGCAAAAATTCACAATGTTTCAAATGTTCATGTTGTGATGTGATAAAATAAATTGAAGAGAAACATTAACTAGACATTTGTTTTTTGAGAAGTATGAAGCAATGGTGAAGCTTGTGGCATGGCAAACAATTTTTGCAGATATTCTCTTTTAAATAATAAACTATTTAATACTGAAATCTACTTTTCAAAACATTGAGCACAGCCCATTAAACCCACAGAGACTGAAAGTTGTACTTTAGCTACACAAAACAGAGGTATCCACAATACTTTATTTTTCAGACATGTATGGTAACATACATGAAAATTTGTTCTCCATGCAGAAGAGGAATTTGTTATGGTTGATAAAGGAATCCTGAACTTTTGTATTGTGAAGAAAAGTCTCCTTTATCTAGCATAAAATCTGCAAATCTTTCCTGAAGATTCTCTTTCCTTGTTGCTGCTGGATGTCTTCCTGTGGACATTTCAATTCTCTTCAAATCGTAATTTTCATGTTTCTTTGCTTCCTCATAAATATGTGGGATATTAGAGATGCAAGGCATGTAATGGAGCTAAAACAGATGCCCAAGTCTTTTAGAAGTATATGATACAACCCTAAAACCCTTAAATGTAACAGACTTTCATAAAATCTGAAAAAGGAAGAGATTCTTACAAATATTCATTTTTTTCCCATCTGCATCATCCTTATAGAGAACAGACTAGGAGCAGAACAGGGAAATCGCCAGGATATGAATATGAAGCATACTGCTTACTCAGAATACAATCCTTATGAAAAATACTCCAGAGGATCTGAAGGAGGCCCTGGGGATACTTGAAGATGAGATGGAAATGTTAAAGCAAGAAATAGAAACATGGACAACTCCCAAATGAGGTTAATGACCAGGTGTAGGAAGAATGTTAGAGTTGGGTTTTATGCCTGCCTGGACTATTACAGTGCTGCCAACTCTTACAAATTTACAGTGAGCAAGGCAATTTTGTTTGCTCCAGCTGCAGAAACTCAGTTTAGATCAAGTTACACAAATTATGTATATAATGTGCTGCTTGATGGAGTGGAGGGCCTTCAGCTTCTCCCAGAACCCCAAAATACCAATTAATTACCTGAGTGTGCCCCACAGCTATATCTTAATGAAATTGTGCACCCCAATAGTCCCACATCAATTCCGTACTTCCCCAGCCCCGCTGCTATTAATTTTGTGCCCCCAGCTGAACAGAAATTCTGCCCCTTCACCACCCTTGTGCACCTTGCTCCACTGCACACCCCTGCTCCGCCTCCAGCTGAAGAGGTTCATCATCCTCTCCCCAAGTCTGTGACAGAGGCAGCTCCAAGAGCTCTTGACCCCATTCCTCCAAGACTTGGGGAAGGGCAGATCTAAGGGTTTTTCTTCCTGTTAGGATATAGATATTCAGGCCTGTCTGTAAAGGCCTATACTTTAAGAATTTAGGTGTATTCTTATCACTTAGCTAGTTATAGAGGTATAAAAGAAAGAATCAAAATCACTTTCTGTGTGAAGGCTATGTGTAAAAGCCTTCTCTCACTGTAACAGTCTGAGGCCTGGATCTTAGGCTAAGGCCTTTGGCTAAGCAGCAGAGGCCAGCCATAAACTGGGAAATGTATGGTCACATCCTCACATTCCAAACTAGTCACATGGAAATAAGGTGCTATTGGACTGTTAGGAATATAATCCTGTCCTGATATTCCTATCACCTCCAGAGAAAGGAAAGAGCCTAGAAGATATAAAAGGAAACTTAGGTTGATAGTTTTCTGTCTGGTAAGAACTCTCTTATCAATAGACACAGCTGGAAAACGCTTATGTCTGTATAGATGTAGTTGTGAAATCCTCACTTCTGTATTGTTTTGTATGTTTATTTGC